CTAAAAATAAAAAAGAACGTAAAAAGCAAAACAGAAACGAAGAAGATGAAGTGGATTCCGAATAAATTATTCAACAATTAAATTCTCATTCTGAAAAGCTTTGTTGAAACCATTCATTTTTTCTGCATTATTATTATTGAGATAAAAATTAATGAAAGTGAGAAACGGTAAGGTTTTACTATTCTGGCGCCCATGGAAAACAATACGCGCGCGAAGCGCGCGTCCTGTTTTAGTTGACAGAAAAAATTCCGCATTAGTACGCGATTGACCACTATCGAACCCCGAGGGTGTCCCGCAGCTTTAAAGTAGCTGTACGCTTCGGCGGGGCTACGCTGTCCTTTTGGATATTTTCAGTTCTAAAGTTTTTCAACTAAATTGCATGGAAAAAATTTGAAAAATTTCGTACCCAGTCAGTAGGGGAAGGTAGGGTAAAACGGACACTTTTGACTTTTTCTGAAATATTCATGACGTGTTGAATTGTTCACGAAATGGAATAATTTTATTTTTCAATTGAAAAATAAAATTATTCCATTTCGTGAACAATTCAACACGTCATGAATATTTCAAAAAAAGTCAAAAGTGTCCATTTTACCCTCCCCTCCCCTATTACCTAAATTAAATTTCGCAAAATATTGATATTCGTTCAAACATTCCCCTCTTATAAAGAAATAATAAAACTTGTTTGCAAAATGGTGGATTATTTTTTATGAGGTGTCAAAAAAATTCTTGATTTTTTCACATCTAATGAAAAAAAAATTCAGATTTTAATCTTTGATTACAATGGAAATGTTGATTTTCACATAAGACTTTAGGTTAAATCCTGATTTGTAAACATTTCTTCTTTGAAAAACCAAAACGATAATTAAATTGAGAAAAAAATTAGGATTCCGAATCTAATCGAGTTTTCTGCAATTTTTTAGCAGTTTTCAATAATCTTTGAATTAACCGTAAGGGTAGAGCTACTTTAAACCCCCCTGACAACGTGAACTCACCCGAAGACTCGTAGACAGAAGCGTGGACATGCGCGCGCGCACACGAAGACACCGGGTAACTTTGGTTCACCGGTGGCACACAACTAAAATCAACAAAAATAGTGAACACCTGAGTCTCAACCAAACAACTGAAACGTTCCACTGATTTCAGCACTGAAATTCGCCTTTAGAACCATGAAAGCCACTATTTCACAATTTTAAACATTCGAAATGATGAAAATAATTGTTAATGTATCTTTCGGCGTCCGCCACTTGTTGTCGGACAGGCACGATTATCCCACGGTATGAAAACGCGTCAACAAATGTGCGATTGAACCGCTCGACATTAATTTAAAAAACAGACGGAATTTGGCCCGCGTCAGCTGCTCGCCGCGGCTGCACTGAGTTCCGTTGTGACTACTACTATGCGAATGAGTGGAAAGGACGAGGCGGTGGACGGTGGACAAGAGGTGGAGGGGAAAAAAACAGATAGAGAGAGAGCGAGAGAGGGAGGGGGAGGGACGAGGAAAAAATACGTTGGAGTGTGCGGCATCGGGCAATGAGTCGGGGGGCGAGGGGAGATTGACCGGTGACAGAGACGGCTGTGCTGTATCGCGAGAGAGAGTGAATCGAGAATTCAATCGAAGCGAGAGAAATGTAAATTTTGAATATGTAGTGGTTTATAGGAGCACCGGGGAATCGAGCAAGTGCGATGAAGAGGGAAGGCACCGGATAGGTGGTGGTAATGGAGGATGGGGAGAGGGAAATACTGCTCGGCCGCCGGGAGGAGGCGGGATGAAGTGTAATAGTCGTACGGAGTTGAGGGAAACAGACGGATTTATGCGGGTTTTCATTGTGGGGGGAGGAGAATCATTTTTGGACGGAAATTTTGGGGCGAAGGGGGGAGAATCGATGATCTTCCTGGGGGGGAGGAAATTTTGCGGAGATTTCTTACGGAATAATTTTTTGGCATAGGGGTAGTTGGTGTAAAACTGACACTTTTGACTTTTTTAAAATGTTAATGAGGGGTTGAAATGTTGATAAAATTTAATAATTTTTTTTTCAATACAAAGAACAGTTCTTTCCCTTTGTGACGAGCCTAAACTGAGCTCAATTGATAAATTTGTTTCTGAGTTATGAATAATTTTTAAACAGTCTAAAGTGCCCATTTCACCCCACCCTCGTGAGTTTTTTGGAAAATTTTAGAGTACATTGTGCACGCGATATTCAAATCTAAAAAATCATTTCTTGGGTGATTCATGACATTAATTAACGCAATGCAATAAATTAAGTCATTTAGAATTTTTTCCGGAAATCCACAGGAACTTTCGACTGGTTCGCGGTGTATATATTCAGCATTTTTATCGTGGAATTAATTTTACTTATGAATTAATGAACAGTAATTGATGAATGAGGATTTGATGATTACAGATTCATAATTTTCTTCGTTGAATTGTCTTTTTTTTCAATTTTTTGTATCGAAATTCAATGAATTAGGGTGGGTGCAGCAATTGGGCGTTGTTAAAGTTTTGCTGAAATTTCAAGGAATTTCGTCATTGAATAATCAATATTTTATGTGAACATCCATGGAAAGAGTCAATTTTTGTTTAATTATTCCATGAAAATTTTTCAAAATCAGGAAAATTCAGGTAATTGTATTTTTAAATTTTTTATCAATTTATTCCATGATCATAAATATTCATGTTGAGGTTAAAAATAATCAAGTAATGTCTCAAATGAAGTGAAATCTGGAATTTAATTATGTCCTAACAGTGTATAGGAAGGAGAATGATTTATGTATTGAAACATTGAGGGAAATAAAACTGGAAGAAGAGGTAAGGCTTGCAGAATTTTTATTAAGAGGAGGGGGGGGGGGTTGAAACAATTCTATTAAATTTTCATATACAACATGATTTTTTCCACTTATTATCATCACAGAATTAATTTGGTTCATGAATTAATTCTCTATAATTATAATAAATTAATGAATAATCATCAATCAATGAGTATTTATTGATGAAAAAGGATTATCTACTTCTTTGAATTATTTTTCATAGTTTTCGAAATTCATTGAATTGGGGGAGGAAGGCGCAATAATTTTCACAAAATTAAATTTTTCGTACAGATAAAAAAGTATTTTTAATGCAAATTATTTTTTTCAAAATTTTATGAAAAGGAAATTATGATGAATTGTTCTGGAGGGGCGACGCGGGGGAGCGTGGATGTAGTTAGGTAGCTGGAAGGCTGTACTGAATAATTTTAAACTATTAATTTTTCATAAGAACGGAGAGACAGGTTCAGTGGAAACTATCGGGAATCGCCCTCGAGCGTTTTTTCTCGTGAGAGTCTTCTATGATGATAGCTTTCACGATGAGATCCGGGTGTGCGCCACGGTGATTCACAAAATAATGGAAGGAAAGAAGTAAATCGTTGGTGGATTTAAATTTCAGAATTTCTTTCTTGAAATATTCGTAACGCTGTTTGTTATTCAACATTTTATTTTGAAACGTTGCATTTGAATTTCCGTTTAATTATTCAGGCGAAATTGATGAAAAATCAGGAAAAAAATACCCAGAGAATTCCTCAAATTCTTCTGAATTTTCAAAGAATTCGGCATCGAACGTTCAATGCAAAGTTTAAATAATAAAATGATTGTAAAATGTCCGGAAGCTAAGGGTCAAATGGGGCTTAAATGAAAGCTCTGACGTTGGACTACAAAAGTCGAAAAGCCTTTCAGTGAAAAAAAAGCCAAAGTACTTCGATATCCTTAAATCGAATTCAAGGTCTTTTTCCAGAAAATTCAGTCCAATTTTTCTACAGTAGACGGCCAAAAAACTGACCCGTTCACCCCGAACATCCAGAGTACTACATGGAGAGAAAAATTCAATAAAAATTACCAGGAAAAAACGTAAAAATTACGTTTCGAAACGTAATCCGCGAGCGAAGTAAAATTCAATGAAAAGTGTGAGTCGGAACTGAAATTGTCCGAATCGCCACGTAAATTCTACGATTTGTTCCGTAAAAATTAACCAGCCATCTGATGCCTCACCGCTGTGGGGACAAGTCGTTCCGTAATTTTTCCCCAACGATTGAGAAATAACTCACCAGCTTCATAAAAATTGTTGAACGTTCAAGAATTTTTGATTTTGGAGGCAAAATAAGTCGATAAGCTTTTGTAAAATTTGACTTCTTCGGGAAAAATTTCCTGACAATTTCGTACTTTGTTCGGTGATGAACCTGAGAATTCACTGAATGTTTCAGATTTCTTCTCTTCCATTCCTACAAAAATTACCGGAAAACGATTCCCCATGCGGATTACGTGAATTGTTCCGTAATTTTTACTGAATATTTCTGTCCGTGAAATCAAAAATTTCTTTCATCATATTGAAATCCCGGAGAGTTCAAATTAATTAAAACCTGAACAATATTTCCAGGAAAAAAAAAAAAAAAAAAAACCTCCCCAACAAGATCCATCCCCATTCCCCCCTCCTCATCTTCCACAAACAACCATGAAACTCCTCTTCGCGAGCAACCGCAGCCGAGAAAACCCCCATTCAATGAACTTTTCGCAAAAATTTTTCCAACGAGAACCCCAGCAACGTCTTCACAAACAACTCCACTTTCAACCCGTGATCAACGATCCCCTACACCTGCTTGCACTTATGCATTAACCTCCAGTTCTCCGAAGATGTAAAACGTTACGAGAGAGGCCTCCCCTCAAGAGAAACCACACGCGGCAAATTCCCCATACCACCATGGGATTTATTATGCGGTGGTATACATCAGTGGCATTAGCACAATCCATATAATTCCCAAAGCCGCACAACTGTTTACATTGCTCCGTGAAGGAGCCAGTGTGTCGAGTTAGTGCCAATACAAAAATTATCGGGGGAAAAAAAAAATAAAGTAGAGACGACGAAACAGAGAACACTCAATTATCGTCTGTTATCGTTGGGCTTACCCACCTGTACGCTGTTGTAGGAAAAACCAAGTATACACATTTATTGTGTACAGATGCCGGGGCCTCACTACAACGGAGAATGCTATGGAATCCGGTTTTCTCTGCCGACTTGTACGATTCATTGTGAAGGACTCTTTTGCCACAGGAGCGACTTCTTGAGTGTATGTTATTTGCAGACTCCGCATTTCTGACGATCAACGGGAGGTGGGGTGC